TATTATGTCATCCTGGTCTGGGATCGATATTGAGTTCTGTAAACACAGCCATTCAACATAAAAGTCAACAGACAGTTTATACAAAAAGTGTCACTCCAAAGTTGTAAGCGATCGCCCAAAAGCAACATATGGCTCCTATACATCTTCTTCAAATATCTGAATACTAACCATAGTCATTTCACCAACAATACCAAACATTTTTGCAAATCCAATCGGAGTCGATAGTAGTAATAACATCACTCCGGCAAATGATACAAAAGAGTAGATGAGTGGCAGATTTACAGATGTTATACTGATAAGGGAGACCTGCAATGGCTGAAAGGACCAGTTTAGTAGAATTATAAAAGCACCAAACAAAGCTTACTGTTTTTCTCGCAAACTATCCCCATACACGCCCGTCTACGAACTCTTGGAGCAAGTATAAATCACAACTTGGAACTCTAGAAAAAGAACCTCACCGATGACGATATCAGCGTCAACACTACATCCACAAGACATAAAATAACTACAATGAGCAACGCGCACACTGCAAGCGTCTCATAAACTCGCTGCATGATACCCTGAACACAGCAAAATTAAAAGAATACCAGTGAATGGAGAATTGCGACTTTTGCTCCGCATGCAATGAAATGTCGCCGAATGGTTTTTGCGAAGTTGCCGAGGGGCTATATCGCTTTCTAGGTTGCAGTGAATCTTGTTCTCTCTTCACCAATGTGATTGGGTTGGTCCTGAGAGATTAGTACTAAGCTCTACCACTTAGCGATATCAAACTAAAGGCAAGTTCGCAAAAGCCACAAGGAAGAAATATAGAAATATAAATACAAGTACGAGGAACAAATTTCGTTTAACTGGATTCTAGCAGAAGAAAATGTGCTTGAGCCACCACTCACATTTTTGTTCTTACTGAAGCCTTGCGATTCAATGAAGAAATAGCTAAATGGTAACAAGACGAAGAGACTGAGATTTGAGAGTGCAAACACGTAGTTCCATAGGCTGTTTATTAACGACCACGACATCCACTGAAAGCGATAGTAAAAACAGGGCATGAATTAGAGTAGGAAAGTGAATGTAACTGAAAGCGATACACCCCTGAGAACCGGAAACCATGCAACCAGCATTGCTGTTTTCGAAGGTTCTCAAAGTAACATTATTCATTTCCCAAATAAAGGCGTAAATAAAAGTTTTGAGAGAAAAGCCTATGAAAAAATATTGTTTGGAACAATTCAAAACTAACTTGAAGGTAGTAATTATCCGGATACCGTTGAAGCAATTCGGAGCTTACAACAGAAAATGGAAGCAGAGCTATAGATCCGATCGATACCGCTAACGAGGCCGAACACATCCATACACTGTAACCAGTTCCATTCACAAAAATTCATTTATTAAAAAGGATTATATCAAATATTTGAGGATAAAATTGCGGAACTCGCCTAATTCTATATACAATGTAATCTTCATCACCGGCATACAGCGAATCATTGTCCGATTTTGACTTGAATAGTGAAATAATCCAATAGGAAAGTAAATACAGAGAAATGAAGATTATTAAACATATCTGAAAAGGGAATAGTAGTACTCATCCTTGACCGCAACAGAAGTTTACATAGAATTTTGAGCAGCATAATAGCTTCCAATAAGAAAGCACTTACTATTTGTTGCCGAACGAATTCGTGGAATTCTCGTTCTTGTCGACGAATTGCTTCAAGGCGGGCTGCTTCTTCTTCCTCGGCCGACGGACCGACCAGCGCCCGCCAAAGTCCCCAACCCGCAGCACTCAATGTTGCGCGTAACGAGTTCACAATGCTGAAATACATAAAGGCTCTTAGAGATTCCTATCAATGGACGATAGTTACAGTCGCAACCTAGTTAACAATAAAACAGCGTTCAGAGTTTGCGTCTGGCAAGAAGGATTACCATTATCCCGACATGCAAGGGTAACCATAAACAACAATTTACCAAATAGATTTACAAATGAAAATTCGCCGAATCTTCTAGAACACAGCGATGCGGACAATGAACACAGCCATAAAAAGCGGAGGTTGTAAAACCAGTCAAAAAATGCAGTGTGTGCCATGTGGCGGGCTGGGAGGAAAATCTCTTCAACTATATTGGGGAGCCAGGTTATTTGAAATCCCAAACAAACATCTTGTTGTCCCCTATCACGATCAGACAAAAAGAATAAAATTGGAAAAGAATATATATGCAAAAACAAGCATGCAACCATGAGTTCTTGAGTACTTAGGTATGTTTTTGAAGAGACTTCTGTAAAAAGCTCCCATGTAAGAATTAGTTGAATGATTTAGCCAGAAAGTTTCCTCTCCATAGGCGTAACTTACTTATTGCCGAAATGACGTGATATGGTATACATTCAGCGGACAGGGTGTGAAAAACAAATACCGTGATGCAGTGTCCTGTTTCACGTCCATTTTTGCCCTTTCGCGAATGTAGGTTGGGTACAAACCGAGTGCTTCAAGCCTCCAAGTATTTCGCCCTTTTTTCTGGTAAATTTTTCAAAAATTCTCTTGGGGAGATCATCAAACTTCTCAATAACTTTAAAAAACTGCACGTTCGAGTTGTTTCTGCTACTCCCCATTCAGCTATACATCAGTCGTTAGCTTCAATCACCGCATCATGTCCACTTATTCTCTTCTTTATGAACTTTCAAACACTCCTTTTCTACGGCAGTGCTCAATACCCGCTAGACAGCATTTGGATTTGGAAAAACCGCAAGATTCAGGCCCGGATCGGTAAAACAACAGATGAATTTTGGCTTTGTTACGGATAAAGATCTGGT